GGCGCGCGGCTGGACATGGAGAGCGTGCCGGGCACCGTCACCGACATCTTCGGCGCCAGCCAGGACACCCTCTCCACCGCGCTGCAGTGGCTGCTCATCCTCTTCACCAGGTAACGCCTCTGGAGGGCGCGGGTTGGGGCTCTCGTTCCTCCTTGGGAACAAAACAAACAACATCAACCACAAGAAAAGCGGAGTGGGGCTAGCGTGCGCTGCGGTCACAGCAGAGCGCAGACGTTGAGGCTCCCTGCAGGTCCCCACCCCTCCAAACTGAAATCGCCAACCCAGAGACGGCCAGCGAGGCGCAGGAAAGGATGAGACGCGTCCGCCCGCGCACGGCTCCCGGGGGAGCCGGGTCCTCAGCGGCTCGGATCTTGTTTCCCGCTCTCTCCAGCCTGCGAGCCGGGCACCTTTGTGAGGACCCCCCCTCACCGGCGCGGCGAAAATATGATTTTTATAACGCCGATCAGTGAGTTCTCTGAAGAGTTCTGTGCTCTAGCGCCGTAGAAACACAGTTGGAAGGGTTTCTGCGGAAAGGGAAACGCAGTCAATATGTTACTTAAACTCAGCCGAGTAATCGGCACGGATCAGAAGCACCCAGGTGCGACTCTGACAATAAGCCAGGGGTTAGGGATTAGTCCCCGGGCAATGAAAGCCCGCGGAGGCGAGCTGGGGGCTAAAACGCGCAGAGGCTTTTGGAGGCAGCCGGAAACCAGCGAAGCAGTTCTGGGTTCGTGAATCCATCTCTAGGCAGGAAAGAAATAATAGGTCAAAGAACAGCAAAAGAAGTCGCTTTTGATGATGCGCACCATATCCTTGGAGGAGAGTGCAGGGCAGCTAAGAGGCGCCTTCGGCCTCCCGACCAATGCGCCGGGCTCTGCAGGTGCCCAAATCCGGCCTTGGTGCTGGCGCCCAGTTCAGCATCGACCCGACGCGCACCAGTCACAGGCCACCAGGGTCACGTTGCCAGACTAAGTAAAGAAAAAATAAATTCTACACGGGATATGCTTATCCTCAAAGATGCTATTGTTTATCTGAAATTCAGGTTTAATCAGACTACCTGTATTTTACCTGAAATTCCTACCTCAGGGGCAAATGCTCTCAAGGCAAATCGCAATTGTTTAAGACACCAGAAATTCCGGTTGTGTCATTTCTTGGGTCTATAAATAAGTCGGGATGTTGAATGTCCTGATGATCTTGGATTTGGAAGGTAGAGGTAGCTTCCGGGAACACACTACGTCCTCGATTTCCTTAGATTTTGTACAACTACCTTAACAAATTTTAAAACTTTGTATATTAAATAACTTTGGGTTTTAAAATTATAGAAACATATATTGGGAGATGAGGAAGGCAGAATTAAAGAAAAGCCAATCATAGTTCTGGAAAAAGACCAACCCAGAACGGGTCCTTCCCATGTCTAGAGCAGCGTGTTATCTATTGAAATGGGCTTTTAAAAAAAATTAGAATGGAACTGTAAAAGACTCTTCTTATATTCCGTTGGCAAGCAAAAGGAAATAAAACAATTTCAGAGTTAAATTAAACAAAGGCAGATACATATTTTTTGCTTCTTTTTCATGACAAGACAATATGGCAGAGATTAGTAAATTGCAGTACCTATTTCTGGATTGAAACAGCCCTGTCATTCATTTATGTATTGTCTGTGGCTGCTTTCACATTTGACAGAGTTGAACAGTTTCCATAGGGAGAATATGGTCTGAAGTTTTTATTGGAAAGTTATGAAAAAAGTTGCAGAGCTCGGAAATTTGATGCTGAAGAAGCGATTTCTAAAATCATCCACAATTTCACCACATCCATGCTTACATTTTTTTACAGCGTTATATTGTTTGTTTTTCTTCTGACTCTTCTACTTATTGCAGTGAACATTTTCCCATCTCTAAACATTTATTTTAGTAATTTTTGATCGCTACATGTGTTGCTATAATAACTTACAGATGATTAGTATCACTGCTTGGGCATTAACATTCATCATTTACTATGCACTTTAAATTTTAGCTACAGCTCTTTTGTATATAATTGTATCTATTAAATTACTTCCTGAAGACACATTTCTAGGAATGGATTATTGGGTTTAAAATGAGGAGGGGGAGGAGGTAACCCTGTCTTGGACTAAGATTTTGTTTTCCAAAAGATTTGTACCGTTTTATATCTGCAGTAGTGCATAAGTATTACAGTTTGTACCACATTCTTACAAACACTGAGAATTTGCTTTTAAGTTTAGAAAATATGTAGATTTGTTTAACCCGATTCCAACAAACTCTTATAAAATCAG